TTTTTGTCTTCCAAGTTTGAAACCAACGTTGCGCCTTTTATCGTAAGCGAGTGGTTTCCTTCTTAGGAGAAACTGAACTCCGCTACGTCCCTCTGGTGACAAAGCCGCGTACTACTCGTACTGAGCGACCCTTTAAAAATTTTTGTCTAAACTAGAAAAATGTAATTGTTATACCTATTTGCATGAAGTCCAAGTAACTACTCAATGTAGTTGAGTCACTACTGCACTACCAATTAATAGTGCATACAATTTATTACCGTGACTATATTTTTATAATATTCAGCACTACTTCAGTTTCTATTACTTTGTAAAACTAGTTACAGGTACTTCAATTGCAAAAGTTGCCAAATTTATAGTTGCTGGAACTATTTTGTTTTCTCTCAGTGTATTAATTGTAATTATATGTATTGACTTTAAGATAAGCTTCGCTACAAAACATCGAGCGTTCGTGGCCTTAATATGCCCTTAATTTCTCCGTTTTTATAGGAGAGGTTTCCTGAGTGCTCCTAGAACACATATATTGGCCATATTTCAATTAGGCAATTAAAATCTTTTGTTTCATACTTTGAGTATCTTTCTCCCCTCTTCATCGATTAATATACATATATGTCACTTATAACTATTCATTTGGGGTCCAAAAAAGGTTTAGTTGTCTTGGACATATTCCAGATACTAGATAATTCGAGAAATCGAATAAAATCAATCCTACATGGTACACAATACATGGTTATAATAGCGAACTTTGAACAGCTGTAGCATTCAAGGGACTCATTTTACAAAGTTGTGCATATGGAACTTTTTAATCCTTTTTTGATGCTCTACAATCCTAGCTAGGTCTCAATGCTGTTCAACTGGGACCCAAACTGGACATAGTCCTTTATCGCTGATTGTATATTATCGCGACGTGCCAAGTGTCATTAATGAGGATCATCTGGATGATTCGACCTGCTTCTGGCAGAGAATCGATAAACGCGATACGTCGCGTCGCGTCGCGTCGTTTTCGATCGGCTAACTGTCGAGGCGCGGCAATCGAACCGCGCTTTTGTTTTTATCGTTACGATGCGACGCGATAGGATAACCATCTTATGCACGCTTCGCGTCACGATGTTACGACGCGAGCGAGCGAGCGGGCAAGTGCGAACGAACGCGCGCGATGCTAAAGGTGATGTGAAACTCGAGACGAAGCGGGTAGATGCCGAAAGGCAGAGCAAGAGGAAGAAACGGGAGGCGAAGTACGAGCGCGGATAGACGTCACGTTCGTAAATCTATCCGAGAAGGATACTGAAATGCGGGGTACGGCGCGGGCGGGGAGGAGAGTAGAAAAGTGAAAAACGAAAGGTAGCACGTGTTTGCCATTCGCTTAATCTCCTCCTTAGCGGATTACGGGTCCGGTGCATTCCGTTGCACGCGCGCGCTCCTTTTCCACGCTCGCATTATTTATATTAGCGAGCGAAGACGTACTCATGGCATCGCATAGCACGAGCGAGTTACATTTTATTTTCTCTTTCGAAGGTTCTTCGACTCGCGAAGTCGGAGCCGAAGTGATTTTCAGCGCACTGTCCACGATTTAAAATTTAAAGTGTTGGTTAATATATCCGCGAGCATCAGACTGCTGCTTTTCGTCCTGATGAAATGAACTGCAATGTTCACGAAATATTGACATTCTAATAATGGATCTCAAAAGCATTATCGTTGATAATTGTTATAAATGTGGTTGTTAAGACTACGGTACACAAAAGGCATAAGTAGTAATTGACATAAAGCAGTAATATAGCTAATCAATATTTGTTATTTGTTACTGATCACGTTATTGGCTTATAATTTACAGTCTCTACTGTGATTTGGTCGATTCCCTCATTGCTTACGTCTTATTGCTTTACGTTTTTCTGTGTGCTGTAGCTCTTATCATTACGCCAAGTATCGCTCGAGGACAGTTTGTGGATTGCAACTATTACTGCCGCCTGCATGTCTTCTCGAGTACACGCGTTCGCAGCTTTCGTCCAAATGATATTTATGCATGCTTTATAAAGTAGCCTCTAATCTAGAGGCTACTTTATAAAGCATAAATGTTTGGTTAATATTGAGCGTTACTTAGCTCAATATTATTGTATAATTATTTTGTACGATATTATTGATGTTTCATTCACAAAAAAAAAGAATCTGGTATAAATGGCTATTAAATATTGTGTGAAATAATTTCAGTCAAATATTTGGTTAATATTAGCAAATATAATTTTACTTTTCTAAATATGTATTAGCAATTATTACTAAATGGTTAAATTATTATGTTTGATAACATTTACTAAATATTTAGATAAGTAAAATTGTATTTTGGTTATATTAACCGAATATCTGATTGAAATTATTTTACTCAACATTTGGTAGCTATTACCAGTTTCTTTTTTCAGTACTTAAACAATTCAAAACAAATAATTTAGAGGCTGTAATACAGTCTTCATATGATCAACAATATTGTGCAATATCAAATATTGTGCAATAATATTGATAGTCTAACGATCGCTTTAAGCTTTCCCGTTGATTAGAATTTACGCTTCTTCGGTACGCATGCGGAGGTACGGCGTGCATACACACGTGAACACACACACAGGTGTGGACAAAGGGGAGAAATTTATTTTGCCCGTTGGCAAGAGAGCCGTACGCGCGGATGAGTTGCAAGTACGTTGCTCGAAACCTTATTAATTCTCAACTCGAGCTCCGCGCGTTAAGTCACGATCATATTCGTATACAAAGTCATGATAATAACGATCGCTGAAAGTGGTTGCACTTGTCGAGAAAACTTGATTTATATTAACATGCATGGACGCGGAGAAGCGTGTCGCGTCGCACGAAAAAGCCACCCGAATGACGAGAGAAACGGACGAAAAGCCGAAGGAGTCATCACTATTAAGGGGGGGGAGAGAAAGAGAGGAGAGAGGAGAGAGGAGAGAGGAGAGAGG